AGATAACAATGAAACTAAAGAATCACTAGGAATGTATATTCCAATAAACTGGAAAAATAAGTAATAAACAGTGAATTTATCAGCATTTATGACCTAACCATATTAAACCAAGATCACATAAATTACTTATATAGATCTATAACAAACAAAAGATTAAAAGAATAATAAAGATATATACCAACTAACTACCAAAGTCCAGGCCAAGATGTATTTACTACTCCATTTTCAAAGAAAAGCCAGCTCTAACACTTCTCAAACTATTCCATAAAATAAAAAGGAATGACTTCTACCAAACTGTTATGGGTGAAGTTAGTATCATCCTTTTACTAAAATCAAAATCTTCTCCCTCTGTCCCTCTCTCTCTCTCTCTCTCTCTCTCTCTCTCTCTCTCTCTCTCTCTCTCTCTTCTCACATAGGCCAACACTGAATACATATGTATTCAGTATAATGTTTGAAAGCTGAATTCCAAAACACATGAACAGTATCATTAGCCATGATCAAGTTGGCTTTATTCTAAATTTAAATCTGATTCAACATATATAACCCAATAAATGTAATACATCCATAAACAGAACCAAGGACAGAAAGGCTGTTGGCAAAGTCTAACAGCCCTTTATGATAAAAGTCCTGAAGAAACTATGAAGAATTGTATCTCTGCTTAACAAATGCTACATACAACAAATCCTTAGTCAACGTTATATTAAGTGGGAGAAGGTCAGAGAGCATTTTCTGTAAAGTCAGTGACACAGCAGAGGTGTTCATCACCTCTGGTCTTATTTAATACAGGTCTCAAAACATTAGCTGGAGAAACGTAAAGGGATACAAATAGAAAAGGAAGAAACAGAAATATCTTTGTTTGCAGATGATAAAACTTTATAAACAATAATCTCAAAATCCTCAAGCAGAAAACTCACAGCTCTACTAAACACTTCCTGTAAAGTGGTAGCATACAAAGTTAACATATGAAAACCAGTATTCTTCCTGTATACCCAGAGGTATGAGAAAGAAATCAGTACAAACAATTCTATCTTAAAATGGCTACAAAATACCCTGGAATAAACATAGACAAGAAAGTGAAAGACCTTTATAGTGAATATTTACAAAGACTGACGATCTTGTCAGAAGAGGGAACATCTCCTGTTTAAAAAACAGAAAACAGAATCTTGAAATTGATAAGGAAGCACAAAAAAGTCCTTCACTGCCCAGACACACCTGGCAAAATGGTTAGTGCTGGGGGTATTACCATTCCCTAGTTTAAGTTACACTGCAGAGCCACAGTAACAAAACCAGTACGGAGCTAACAAGAAGCAGATCATTGGAATAGACTAGAGCTAGATATAAAGCCACACATTGGCATTGTCTTTGTTTCTGACAGAGATGTCAAAGAGGATTCATTAGAGCAGTGCTTCTCCACCTTCCTATGCTGCAACCTTCCTCTACAGTTAGTTCCTCCACTGTGGGGACACCCAACCATAACATTATTTCCGTTGCTACTTCATAACTCTAATTTTGCTACTGTTATGAGTCACAATATAAATATCTGTGTGTTAGGATAAATCTTTCTGCCAAAAGCCACCGGAGCCCCACAGCCATGTGTGCGCTTTATGCCAGCCGCCTGAGTTCTCCCTGCCATGTGGATGGACAAAATAATACAGAGACTTATATTAGGTACAAATGCTGCTTGGCCAATGACTAGGATTCTCATCTGTTAGCTCAGTCTTCATTATATAAATCTATATATTTTATAAGCCTTATCTTATCGGACACCTTCCATTGGCATCCTCTCTTGCCCGTGGATCACATTGCGAATCTGGAGGAAGAATGGAGGGGAAAAAGGGCCACTTCCTGCTTGTCCTTCCTTAAATATGAGTCTTCCTGCTATGTCACTTCCTGCCTGGATCACCACTTCTTTACTGCATTTCCCAGAATCTTCCCGCCTAACTTGCTGCCTCATTGGCCAAACAGTACTTTATTCAACAATCTATGAATAAGATGAACATACACAGAAGTACATTCCCCATCATCTGTGCTTTCTGATGCTCTTAGATGACCTCTGTGAAAGGGTCATTGGTCCCCCACAAAGGGGTCATGGCCCATAGGTTGAGAAAGCACTGCACTAGAGTCAGGGCAAGCTTGTTCAACAAATGGTACTGGGGAAACTGCATATCCATATGGAAAACAATGGCACCAGAGCCTTATTTTTATTCTGTACATGTCTAATGGATCTGAGACTTGGATCTAAGACCAGAAATTCTGAAAATGTCAGAGGAAATAATAGGGGAAAATACTCCAAGATATAGGGAAGGGCTACTGAGTAGGACTCTAGTTGCTCAAGAAATAAATTATTGACTAACAAACGGAACTTTATAAAGCTAAAAAGCTTTTGAGAAGCAACAGATACAATCATGTAAAGAAGCAGTCTGTAAGATGGGAGAAAATCTTACACATCTGGCAATGGTTAATATCTAGAAGATACAAAGAACTCAAAACCATAAACAAAAGAAATCAAATAACACAATCAATAAAGGCTATTGTTGAAATGAGTGGACAGTTCTCAAAGATGGAATACACATGGTCAGAAAACATACAAAAAATGTTAAACTAGCAAAGGGGCAATTGGATCGTATTTCCCTGTACACATATATTACATCGTCACAGAGTAAGTTAAAAGAAAACAGAGAGACTTTAATCACCCTTGTCAGGATGACTGTCATTAAGGAAATGAACAAGTGGTGCTGATGATGTGAACAAAAACATTTATCCCTAGTGCAAATGAAAATGTGTTCAGCCTTTGTGGAAATCAGTGTAGATGTTCCTCAGAAAGGGAAAACCAGGTCTACAGTTTCACTCCTCACACTACTTTTCTTAGTACCTGCTCAATGAACTTAAAGCCAACATATCACAGAAACACTGGCACATTCTTGTGTCCTGTTTCACTACTCAGAACAGCTGCGCTGTGGAATTAGCACAGGTGCCCCTCTGCAGAGAACTGGATAAATCCTGTGGTTCAGATACAGGATTGAATTGTTTTCAGCCATAAACTATAGTCAAGAGCTGGGGTGATAGATCAGTAGCTAAGAATACACATTACTCTTGTATTTTGATCTGAATTATATTACACCTAGGCTAAGCACCTGTGGCCTCTATTGGCACCTGCACACGTGTTCACATAAACACAGACACATACACATAACAAAAATAATAAAAAATAAATTTTTGAAAAGAAATAACTTGTCATCTTCAGGGAAGTGAATGCAAACAGAGAAAGCCACATTATAAATGAGTTAAGTCAGTTTCCAAAGGACAAACACTAGGGCTGGAGAGATAGCTTAGTGACTAAAAGCATATGTACTCCTTCAGAGGACTTGCATTGGTTCCCAGTGCCCACCTAAATTAGATGACTCCCAAACACTTGTATCTCCAGCAACAGGGTATCCCACAGTCTCCTCTGACTTCCACAGCCCATGTGCAAATACCCCCTCTTCCCTCCCACAATTTAAACAAATTTCTTAAAATATATAAACATTAGATGTTTTCTTTCACTTGGGAACCTTTATAACTTTTTGAAATCATGTCTATTTA